TCTATCTATCTGTTCTATCACATTTGCACCTAAACATAAACACGGACTGATTAGACTTGCAAATGTCAAACGGAGGGCCGGAGGGATTCGTCCTAGAAAACAAGCGACAGCCCGTTTTCCTCCCAACAGATGCTCTGATGACAGCATGAAACCTGCTGGGATGTCCGAATCACTTAAAAAAGAACGAGACTATCGGCAAACAGTTAAAAGAATCAATAATCTATTTGGAAATTTGCGGATTTGTACTTGACGCCTCCGAAAAATGGTGTTATTCCCTTAACATGAACGTTATTCTCAATACATTACTGATAAGAGTCTGTCACTACTGCAACACACTGAGTAATCTCTCGAACTTACTTTGGAAAAAAAGTATGCTATAAGTCTTCGAAGCTGGTGAAAACTTTAAGAGATGCGCACAAAGATGAGAAGGGATATCGGATTACTCCTCCTAACACAATCTGTTTCAGTTTATCTCCATTTGTGAATGTCAAACAAAAGATCATTCCTCATATCTCTTATCAGATCCGATGTAACGTTGGACTGTTTTAAGCTGCTTTGGAAAAAACACACCTCTGTTCCCTTTTTTTGTGAGGGCATTGTCTTTGTTGGCTTCTTTCCCGATCTGCATGTCGGTTTTGAACCCTTTTTTTTCTTTGTGTGTGTTGTGTTTGTGTTTGATGCCACGATGGGAGCTTCATAGGAATGCGTGGCCTAAATTGGGATGTAGGGACTTTTTCAGGGTTAAGACGGGAAATTAAGAGTCATCTACGGGAAGATGTTTGGTAAGGCTTAGGGTGAGGGTTAGGATTAGGATGGTTAAGATTAGTCCAAGGGGCTAGAGGATTCATTAGGTCTGGAGGGTGTTCCCATAGGGAAACAGAATCAAGTATGTTTGTATTTGTAACTTAAGTGGATGTCAGAATTAAAAAAAACAAACAAACCTAGCTTCCTGAGTTATTAACGCACAAATTCTGGTTATTTCAAATGGTCCGTAAACCGTAATGCTGCAGAAGCACCAAAGACAGATATATTCACAGAACCAAACCAGCCAAATTCACATTCCTTATTCCCTTTTCTTTCCCTAAATTAATCAAATGCCCCATTCTAGTAGATGTCAAGAGATGCGTTCAAACTGGGTTTTGTTCCGGTTGGTTGAAACATAGGAATTAAGATCAAGATCTAAACTATGGGGGGAAAAAATGACTTTTAACAGACAAAAAAAAACAGCCAGTGTAACAGTGAGGCAAACATTCCTCTCCCTGTCCCGACAGGCTGCACGGAGGCGCGCATACGTCTGTTTGTGTGCGTCTCCTCCTTTCCGTCCCGAGTCTCCCACATACCGCCGAATCTCTGTCTGCCCGGCAGGCCCCGGCTTGTCCAACAGCAAACCGCCCCG